GGTGCCCCAGGTGCCCCGCCCCCAGGCTGGGGCTGCTATCGGGCGGGGGCGGGGGCTGGCGGGAGCACCGCGTCATTCTCTTGGGTCCGCTGCAAACGAACGCTTCCCCAGACGACGGGTCTCTTGAGACAATGCTGACGAAGCACTCCCCACGCGCCCAGGCTGTCCCGTGGGGCCCTCCCCACAGGGAGCCGGCCCCAGTCTCTGGCTCCACGGTGATGCGGGAGTGAGCTGGGCTGGCGTCCTGCACGGAACCCCACACCTCGCCTGGCGCTCCCAGTGCGGCCCGGCATCCTGGGGGCTGGGTGCCAAAGCCGCCCCTCAGGTCACCCTGAGCCTGCCCAGGTCCCCACCACCTGCAGAGGCCTCTGTGGCAGGAAGGTGCAAAGGTTCACTGGGTGCCGATGTCAGGGCTTATCTCAGAACCCAACCCACTTCACAGACAGGGAAACTGAGGCTAGGCACGTGCAGGAGGCTGCCGTCAGTCGCTCAGCTCCCTGACACCACAGCGACCTCCCTAGGGGCTCCCCACGGAGCTCGCTGAAGCCCCCCATTCCTGACTCAGCAGGTCGGGTGGGTCTGGCCGGTTCTGGGACACGGGCCTGGGGAACCTCAGGGCCATCACAGGGCTGGGAGGAGCTGTGGGGGTGAGGGCATCCGCCTTCCATCCGACGAGCCGAGCCCTGCTGCCCGGCCATGCGGCCTTGAGCCAGTAAGAGCGCCCTGGGCCTCAGACTCCCCACCTCGCACGGCCTCCAGTCGTCCAGGTGCCCAGGGAGGGTGACGGCACGAGGGAGGCGTCCTTGGACTGACCCCCCCACCACGAGGACACAGCTGCCCCGGCCTAGGCCCTCTGAGGCGGCCCCCAGCTGAGGTGGACACGGAGGCGAGGGGGGTCTGGGCACCTCCCACCCAGGGCTGGGCCTTTACTGCCGCACACAGAGGGGCGGTGCCTCGTGGAGGGCCGGCCCAGGAGCTCAGAGCGCGACCTTATTTGGAAGCGAGGCTTTTGCCGCTGTAATTAGTTAAAGACCTCGCGATGAGCTCATCGTGGACAGGAGCTCGCAATCCCAGGACCCGCCTTCTCGCGAGGAGGGGGAGATGTGCACGCAGAGAGACACTGATGAGGCCTCGTGGGGCCGAGGGGCGCCCGGAGCCCTGGGGGTGGCTGGAAGAGGCAGGGAGGCCCCCCTGGGGGGGAACTCCACAGGAGCAGGGCCCTGCCGGTCCCAGGGTCTCGGCCCCTTGGCCCCTGCCCCATCTGTCATCCATTACGGCAGCACCCGGGCACTCACACACGGTGGAGACAGCAGCCCCCCGCCCCGTCCCCAAGGGAGCTGCCCCAGACAGCTGCACCCCGCCCCCATGGAGGGGGCGGGGGAAGGAGCAGGCTGGGGAGGGCCTTGCACAGAGCAGAGGGGCACACGGAAGCCCGGAGACACGGACGTCGCCCCCAGGTACGCAAGGATAGGTGACGGTGCCTCTGACCGCGCCCAGGACGAGGCCCAGGGGAGGTCACACACAGGGGCTGCTCCTCCACAGTAGGAACCAGGGCGGGAGGTGGGACCGCGATGCCCCGGCTACAAATGTACCCAGAGCGGCCGGCGCCACGGTTCAGCAGGTAAAGCCTCCATCTGCAGTGCCGGCAGCCCATGTGGGCGCCGGTTCAAGTCCTGCTGCTCCACTTCTGATCCGGCTTCCTGCTGATACGCCTGGGAAAGCAGCGGAAGATGGCCCAAGTGCTTGGGCCACTGCACCCACGCGGGAGACCCTGGATGAAGCTCCTGGCTTTTGGCTTTGGCCTGTTTCAGCCCTGGCCATTGTGGCCAACTGGGGAGTCCACCAGTGGATGGAAGCTCTCTCTAAGGGCGCCTTTCGCATAAATTAAAAAAATCTTAAAAAGAAGAAGGAGAGGAGAAATTGGAGCCATGCAGACACTTCAAGAAGAAAAAAAGAGCATTAAAGTGAGCGAGGGCTCTGATGTTAGGGCCCGGTGCAGCTGCGAGCCCCCCCCCCACCCCGGCCGGCCCTGCTCGGAGGCCAAGGCAGAGCGGGGACTGAACCCAGCTCAGTGGTGCAGGGAGGACTCCTTGGAACACCCTCACGGAGGCAGAGGAGAGGGGGAGGGGCCTGGGCCTGGCTGGGCCCCAGCTCCTGGTGCCCTGAGCAGCAGTGGACGTCCAGGCCCTGGGCGCGAGGACAAGCGTCCGTCACTCCTGAGCTCACTCCAGGGAGCCTGACCTCACTGCAAGTGGGGTTTTCGCAGACGTCACTAAGTTAAGGACCTCAAACTGACCTCACCCTGGGCCAGGTGGGTCCTGAACCCAGTGAACTCGGAAGGGAAGGGAGCGGGGGGGGGTGGTGACGGTGACTGCAGCGAGGCCTCTGGAAGCCGCCACCGGGTCCAGCGCCCACATGGGTCAAAGCTGCGTGGCTCCAAGCAAACGGCACCGTCTCTCGGGGCCTCTGCAAAGCAGGCCCGCTCAGGGCTCGCACAGGAGGCGGGTGTGTGAACCGTGGAGAGCGGGCGGGGCTCCGAGTCCCCGGTCAGTTAGCCACGTCGGCCTAGCTTGTGACCCTGTCTCTCTGATGCACAGAACGTACCCTAGGGAGTAACAATTTAAGAAACCAGAATGCCGAGGTGTTTGATATGGTATTACCCACAAGGCAGCGCGCGGGACAGAGCCCTATGGCCAGGGAGGAGAAGAGTCAGCATGAGGCCGCCCCGGGGAGCCCCGCGCGCTCCAGGCCAAGGACAGTGAGCAGCGGCGCGGACCTGCAGGGGCCTGGGCACGGCGCTGCGGGCAGCCGCGTGAAGCCGTACAGGCAGCACGGGCAAAGCAGGTGGTGTCACCCAGGGAGGCGCGGCCCCCGCTCGCTTCCAGTGCAGAGTGCAGGGGTCTGCGCCTGTGCCTGTGCGGGCCTCATCTCTCTGGAGACCAGGGCTGGGCGGGTGTGGTGGGCTGGAGGCTGGCGGCACACAGCCAGCACTGAGGGACGCACGAGCCGGCCTCCCCCAGCATCGCAGGTTCCCCCTGCCCGCCCTGAGCAGCCCAGGCCCTTGTGAGCCCTCGGTCCCGGCGGTGGGGGGGCCAGAGTGTCTTTCCCAGGTCCACCCCTGGCTGAGCCCCCAGCTGGGCCAGAAGGGACGTGTCCCGGCCAAGACGGCAGAGCACAAAACGGCCCGAGCGCCCAGCCACAGGTGAAGGACCGGCGCCCGGGGTCTCTCCACCAGAGAGAACGTGGCTCAGCCACAGAAAGGGAGGGGCAGTGACCCGAGCTCCTCCGTGGATGGACCGGAGGACACGCAGGAGAGACACGGGGGCTGCGAGGGTGGAGTCAGCATCCGTGGGCACCGTCTCCATGTGTGGGCACAGTCTCCACGCGCGGCCACGGCAGGTTCTTTCTGGAGGTGCACATGGTGGCGGCGGCTTGGCAGTGTGAGGGGACATACAGCCATGGAACCGCGTACCGAATGGCTCAGGGGGCACGCTCTGCCGTTGTCACAGGAAAACCCCCACGCACGAAGCTGGCACCCAGAGGAGGGAGGCCTGAGGCTTCCAGGGCTCGCACCCACCTCAGCCCGCCAACCGCTGGCCACGCCCGAGATCAACCTCCACCACTCACAGCCTCAGTCAACAAACGCCTCCCCACTGTCCCACGGGCTCAGCCTGCAGTGGCCGAGGGGCCAGGCCCTGGATGGACCTGGGCTGCTTTCTCCTCTCCTGCCACTTTCCCAACAACCATGCTCCGCCCACAGGAGGAGCTGTCTCTCAAACGCCCCGCCTCCTTGGCCAAGGGGGCGGACCCAAGACCTAAACTGGGCCAATCGGATGCTGTCCTGGAGCTGGTTCTGGGGGTGGTGGGAACTGGGGTCACCCAGCCTGCTGGGCCCCTTCTGCCCCTCCTCCCTTCACTTCTGCAGCTTCCCCGTGGCCTCCGGCTCGCGGTCGCCGGGGCCGGTTACTACGGCTCGCAACCAGAACCACCCTCGCCTGCCTGCCGCTCCCCGGACGGCTACAGAGTGCGCGGCCACCTGATGCAAGAACGGTGAGGCTGAGGGCGGTGCTACAGCCACTGGGCTGAGCACCGGGCACCACACGTGGTGCTCGCGTGGCAACGGAGGCACAGATTCCAGGGGCCGCGGTAGCGGTGGTAACGCCAGAACTCAAACGCAGCCCATCTGATTCCCGGCTCCACGCCTGGACAGCTCTCTGCGGTGAGTACCCCGGGCGGAGGGCACGCCTGGACCAGCATAGAGGGCACGGTGTGAAAGGGCAGCGGGCGGCTGGGCGCCGGGGAGGAGGCTGAGGTCAGCAGCAAGGCTCGGAGCCCGGCTGCCACGCCCCAGCCCGGCCTCGGCCACGGCCACACAGAGCAGGCAGGGAGCTCGGAGGATGATGCACTGGCAGGCGTGAGAGCGAGGCCAGGGCCGCTGGACGGAGGCAGCCCGCAGGTGGGGTAGGGGTTGGTGGGCCTGCGGCCCCTGGCCCAAGAGCTCTCGGGGCTCCTCCCAGGTTTCAGGGTAGAGCAGGGGTGGGGCGGGGGCTGCAGCATGTGTCCCTGAGGACCAAGAGGCCCTGTGTGGGTCACGCTGGGCTGAGGGGCCTCAGGGTCATCCGGGCGCTGGACGGGAAGGTCCGGCGCTGAGGCTGGAGGCTGGACTGTCTCCCCAGCACCTGCAGCACCCGCGGGGGTCTGTGTTCTCCCTCCTGCCCTGTCCTCGCCCCAGCAGGGGTGACGGGAGGCCCCAGTGAGCCTGGCTGCTCCCCCAGGCCTCCTGCTGCTCCTCTGCGCAGCCGGGGTTATCTTCGTGGGGGGAGCACACTGGGGCACCCTCCCTGTCACTCAAAGGCAGGCCTGGGGGAGCACTCCAAGCAAGCACCTACAGAGCACTTGCTGTGCACCGACGGGGCAGCGAGGCAGGCCTGCGCCCACCCTCCCCCACCCACCCCCTCGGCCCCCAGTCGGGGGCGGGGCCGGAGCGGAGCTGGCCTTACCTGTCAGGCAGGACAGCTTCAGCCCCATGTCGGCAGCTCTGCAGGCCTGCGGAGAGAGGAGAGGCTCAGGCGGCGGGCGAGCGGGCGGGACTTGTTTTGCACTGGCCACGCGTGGCCAAGCCCCCACCCCGGCCCTGGTGGGTGCACAACAGGAAACAGTGGCGGAGAGAAACTGCCGGCCGAGAGGTCGCGGCGTCTGCCGACTGCATCTGGGCCGCATTTGCTCAGAGTCAGAGGCTGTGACGCTCAGGCACCTCAAAGCCAAGTGCACGGCCCGGGCGTTCCCTCCAGGGGCTGCAGGGGGCTGGCCGGTGCTGGGGACGGCAGGGCCCTCGTGCTGGGCTGTGGGGGTGGTGCAGAGCCCAGCGTGGCTGCCCCTGGTTTAGAACACAATCCCCGCTATGAGGGGTGCACAGGCCCCGGTCCATGGGACGCTAGAACTCTTCCAGCCAGCGTTCCCGCCACGTCCCTGCCACGGACAGGATGTGTCCTTGAATTCGGAGTGACCAATGAGGAAGCCACCATGAGGGTGCTGTCACCGTCTCCACTTTACAGACGGGGGCATCGAGGCTGAGGGAGGCAGCGTCACCTGCCGAGGCCTCGCGCTCACCAGAGTCATGGGGCTGGGCATGAGCCCGGGACCGTCCCGGCCCCAGGCTGGAGCCCCACTGGGGTAAGGCTGCACAGGCCTGCTTCTCCCAGAGCCTCATGGACAGTGAGCTTCCGCCGCCTCCGGGCTGGACCTGGAGTCAGGTCGGGGGAGGGGAGGGGTGCAGGGGACCAGGAGCCCCTCCCTTGCCAAACAGCAGCCCAGGACGCTCCTGCCGCCCCCTCCAGCTCCAGGGAGGTCCTGCTGCCCTAATATTCCTCACCCCGGCACATGGTCTCGGAGGACCCAAAGTAGCAGGTGGGTAAGAACCAAATGGGCCATCGCCTCACAACAGACTTATTCACAGCGGCAGGACAGACAGACAAGCAGGGGCCTGGGGGCCGGGCCAGGGAGAGCCCCCCAGGAACAGGAAGGGACTGCAGAGGTCCGGGGATGAGGCCGCGGTCCCCAGGGTGGGCTGGATGGTGGGCAGTCCTGCAGACTGCCGCTCCGGGGGTGCCACGCCAAGGGGCAAGCTCTCGTCCCAGAGGGCTGCAGGCTGGCTGGCGATGGCAGGGGACCCCAGCCCCTCCCGGGCCCGCCCAGGCCCTGGAGAGGAACTGGCATTTTAATGAGGCGTCCAGGGGTTCTTTGCTGAGGACCGTAGTCCTGGAACTGAACGCGGGAACGGTGGCCGGGGTGGGGGCGGTGCAAGTGCGGGAGGGCCCGGGACGTCCACTGGGAGAGGGTCCGAGCTGGGAGGGAGTCGGAGCTGACAGGGAGGGGGTGCAGGGGACCATGGTCGCCGTCCTGGCGGAGCAGCACAGCGGTGTTTGCCCGCAGGCAGCTTCCTGCCCCCAAGACTCCACTTTCCTCATCTGTAAGGTGGGGATGCAGGACTCACGGCCAGGAGCCAGAGTGTGTGTGTCTCAGGGGAGGGCTCGGTGCAGGCGCACGGCAGAGATCCGAGAAACGCCCTGGCTGCGATCATTTGCAGCAGGGATGGAGGAGGGAGGGAGAGAGGCAGAGGCTTCTGGCCAGGACCTACTGACGTGCGCGTGGTCGGCAGATGGGAGCTGGAGACGTGCAGGGGCCCAGGCGCTGCCTTGGCCTCACGCAGAACCTGGGTCCTCACTACAGCCGAGCAGAACGGGGCCCAGCTGGCTGCACGGCAGAATCGCCCAAGAGCTTTATAAAAAATTCTGTGGCTTGGGGCCGGCGCTGTGGTATGGCAGGTAAAGCCGCTGCCTGGAGTGCCAGCATCCCTCATGGGCACCGGTTCAAGTCCTGGCTGCTCCACTCCCAATCCAGCTTCCCTGCTAATGGCCTGGGAAAGCAGTGGAAGATGCCTGGGCCTGGCACCCACGTGGGAGACCGGGAAGAAGCTCCTGGCTCCTGGCTCTGGATCGGCGCAGCTCCTGGCATTGCGGCCATGTGGCGAGTGAACCAGTGGATGGAAGACATTTCTCTCTGTCTCTCCCTCTCTCTTCCTGTAACTCTGCCTCGCAAATATATAAAATCTTCAAAAAAAATTATTTACTTGGGAGGCAGAGAGCGAGCGAACGAGTGCTCCCATCCTCTGGCTCACCCCCCGAACGCCTCTGCTGGCCGGGGCTGTGTTGGCAGGGAGCTGGAGTCGGCATGGAACTCAGGCACTGACAGGGGACACGGGCACCTCAGCGGGCATTTTAACTGCCAGGCCTTGCGCCCGGGAGACCCTACTGTGCAGAGCAGACCCACCGGGGGCAGCTGCTTCCTCAAGGCGAAGGGGCGGGGCCAGAGGCCGAGGTCCTCGCCAAGGCCGCCGGGTCGGGAACCGGCTGTGAAGACCCAGCAGGCTGGCAAGGTGTGGGGCACAAGGAGCACCCGGCGCCGGCCGGCCCGTGGCGCTGGCTGGCCCGTTCCTCAGCGTGTGCTGCCCCCAGCTCCCTCAGAGCCCCCGCCACACCCGCACGGGGCGCGACTCATCCCCGGCCTTTCTCAGATGCGGAACCAGGACCCAGAGCGGTCGCTAACCTCAGTCTGGAGCCTGCAGCTCTGCGCCAGCGGCCCCACACCAGGTCTCCCATCCCCATCACCTGCCCTGCAGGGGCTCCACAGCCCTGGGATCAGGCCCACCAACAAATCCACCCAGCCACGAGCTGCGGTCCCCACCCCCTGCCCTCTGGGCCTGCGACCCCGGGAGGGACTGACGACGGCAGAGCACACACAGGCTGCACGGGGCACCCTGATCCGAGCGCGTGCCCTCGTCCGTCTCGTCTCGGCACTGCCGGTCACAGCCCAGCCAGGGCTCGGGCAGGAGACGGCAGCAGCGGCACCCGGTTCCCGGCGGGGCTGCCGGGAGCTCACGGCACCTCGTCCGTGGGTGTGAAAGCCAAGCGGTGGGAAGACCATTGTGAGTTCACTCGCTGTACTCCTGTCTGGTATGAGACAGCGCTCCTAGCTGGTAGGAAATACGTGCTGATGTGTCAGGGTCAAGGGCCATCACTTTCGTAACTCACGCAGCGCGGCAAGGGTGGGGACCCGGCACAGAGGTGAGGGGCAGCTTGGAGCTGCGTCCCATACCAGAGGGCCTGGGTTCGAGTCCCAGCTCCGCTGCCAATTCCAGCTCCCTGCTGATGCAGGCCCTGGGAGGCAGCAGGGATGGCTCAAGTGTTTGGGTCCCTGTCACCCCTGTGGGCGACCCGGACCGAGTTCTGGGCTCCTGGCCTTGTCCTGGCCCAGCCCGGCTGCTGCGTGCATCTGGGTGCGAACCAGCAGACGGAAGATTTGTCTGTGTGCCTTTCAAATAAATAAACAACTCGGCAAGAAAATCGAGGTGCGCATGGCACACAGGGGAGCGTCGAGGCCGGGGACGCAGCCTACCCCACCGGGTACGTGCCGAGCGCTTTCTCTCCCTGCACCTTCCCCGGCGTCGGCAAGCGCTCCGAGAAACAGCTCACGGAGAGGACAGCAATGGGCGGCCCCGCAGACGCACGGCCCCCGGCACGGCGCAGGGTGCGGTCCTGCTCTCCCGGCAGCATCTGCGACCTGGCCGGGGACGCTGTCTAGGGACCAGGGCACTGGCTCCCGGAAGGCTCGTCTGGGTTGATGGGCTTTGTCCCAAACTCGCTCGCTTGTAACCTGAACACCCCAGGGAGGGAGGGAGGGAGGACAGACGGACAAACAGGACGGAAGGAGGACGGGGACCAAGAGTGACCCCGGCCTGGGTCCCGGTGACCCCGGGGGACCAGAGCTGAGCCGGGGCCAGGCAGACACAGCACCAGGGCGGTCCCGTCCATGACGGCAACTCTGGTTTCTAAAACTCCCAGGGGGGTCTGAGCTTCCTGCGCCCTGCAGGCTGCCCCCCCCCCGGGGGGGGACAAAGGCGGCGGGTGTCGGGACAGCCCAGGAGGAGGAGGAGGGTGCTGTGTCGGCTCGGGCAGTGTGAGGTGCTACGCTCCGTCCCCAGGACCGGCGTGATCCCACCAGCCTCCAGAGCAGGGCCCCTGCGTCACCAGCCTGATTCTGCCGCTGGGGGCTCCCACAGGGCAGTGGCACCGGGGACCACCAGGGCTCCCACAGTGTGGTCCCATGCCATGGCGTGGCCTGCTGCACCAGGGAGCCCAGGCCCCTCCCAGTGGGGCCTGGGCTGGCCCCCGCAGAGAAGGCCCTCGGACTGGGGGGCGTGCACCCCCACTCTGTCCGTGAGCCCTCACGGTGGGCGGGGGCTTTGACCTTAAGTGTCGTCAGCCAGGAGACACCTGGCTCTGGTCTCAGCGGCCCGAGGGCAGCAAGGACCGCTGCCCTGGACCCTGACCATGTCCACAGGGGAAGTTCTCCCCGCCCCTCCTACGGCGAGCGGCTTCCGAGGGCCCGGGCGGGCGGCCGAGCCGGCGCCTGTGCAGCGGCTCCGTGTTCGCGCGTGTTACCGGCAGACACCTCATCTTCGTAAGCAGGAAGAGGGCGCGGGACAGGGTGTCCCTGGCTGGGCTGGGCGCAGGAGAGCATCCCGGGGCGGGGTGCTGGTTAGCTGTCCACACCTGCAGGGCTGTGAAAGTCCCCTCCCACACTGTGCCCCCCCACCCCCCCGAAATGGCAGATCATCGATGACTCGCACGACAGCTCCCAGGACAACGCGTGCTTCCTGGCACCCGGTGAGAATCTCCCCAGCACCAAATGGGGACCCTCTGGGCAGAGGGACGGGCAGCTTTAAAGACGCTTCCTCCTGCGGTGGTTCGTCCTGCTCTGAGCTGCGCTGAGGCCGGGCCACAGGCCTCTGCTGGACCAGGCTCAGCTCAGCTCCCAGAAGGGAGAGGCAGCTCAAGGGGCGGGGTCGGTTCCACAGGCAGCAGCCTTGGGTGTGTGTGTGTGTGTGTGCGCACGCCAGCCCGCTCCCTACAGGTTTCCATGCCAACAGGACACAGAGCCTACCTGGGGGCTGGAGGGACCCCGTGTCTGCAGAGTCCCCCCAGGTACCCCGTGTGTGGCCCACGGCGGCTCACCGAGAGCCCCAGGGTTGAGGGACCCCCCTGCGAATGGATCCTACAAACCAGAGCTGGTGGTAGACAGAGTGGAGCTGCAGGGTTAAACACAGGTGCAGGGCCGGCCCTGTGGTGCCGGCGGTTAAGCCACCAGCGTCATGCCAGCGTCTCGTGTGGGCACCAGTTCAAATCCTGGCTGCTCCACTCCCAATCCAGCTCCCTGCTAATGCGCCCGGGAAAGCAGCAGAGGACGGCCCTGGTGCTTGAGCCCTGCACTCACACAGCAGACCCGGGAGAGGCTTTGGAGCAGCCTGGGTCCAGTCTTTGCGGCCATCTAGGGAGTGAACCAGCAGGTGGAAGATCTCTCCCTCTAACTCTGCCTTTCAAATAAATCTTTTTTTTTTTTTTTAAAGATAGAGTTAGTGAGAGAGGGAGAGAAACAGAGAGAAAGGTCTTCTTTCTGTTGGTTCACCCCCAAAATGGCCACTATGGCCGGTGCGCTGCACCGATCTGAAGCCAGGAGCCAGGTGCTTTTCCTGGTCTCCCATGGGGTGCAGGGCCCAAGCACCTGGGCCATCCTCCACTGCCCTCCCGGGCCACAGCAGAGAGCTGGCCTGGAAGAGGAGCAGCCGGGACTAGAACCCAGCGCCCAGACGGGATGCTGGCTCCACAGGCGGAGGATTAGCCAAGTGAGCCACAGCGCCAGCCCCTCAAATAAATCTTAAAACGCCAACCCGCCCGGGGTGCCCAGTCCCGCCGTGGCACGTGCTCCTCATCTGCAGTTAAATTCAGCTGCGTGGCTTCCCCTGCACTTGCTGACCCTGAGGTCCAGCGAGGGGACAGAGCGAAGGGCAGGCCGGCCAGAAGCCAGGTCTCCTCCGGGTCCCTGCAGAGGCACCTCCCAGCCCTGCCCTCTGCCTCCCGCACAAAGACCTCCTTCAAGGCGGAGGTGAGGCCAGGGCGAACCCAGCTCAGGAATGTGCCTGCCTGCCCGGGTGGGCGGAGCCAGTGCCAGGTTCTGCCCAGGGGCAGGCGCCGCCCGGCACCTCGGAGCACTCTCGCCAACAGCATTAGATTCCTGCCACTCCAGCCACGGGGACCGCGTGGGAACAGAGGCTGCGGGCTCCGCCTGCTTCCTGGGCGCCAACTTCAGGCTTCGCCACAGGAGCGCCCGGGCTGCAGCCACAGCCTCGCACGGACAGAGGCGGGGGCACCACCTCCGCCTCCCCTGAGCCTGGGCCCACCGCCCCTTTCTGAATGCTACCTGTCAGTAACAATGTTAAGAATGAGAGAAGAAAAGGGCACAGTGGTCTACCCTGGGTCCTGGGGGCCGGCGACAGGGTGGCCACCTCCCCACTCATGCCACCCCTTACCCCTCCTAACCATGTGGGCCGGGGGGGGGGCACGCAGCGGCCCCAGCGCCAGGGCTGCGTCCACCCTGCGCCTCTCGCTGGGGGTGGGCACTGCTTCCTCACCCTTCACTGGGGACCCCGAGCAGCACCTGCCCCTGCTGGGGGGTGAAAACACCGCGTGGGCACCTCCCGCCCCTCCCACTCCTCTCCGGAGCTGCCCTGAGCCTGGGGGACTCCCCCTCCCCCGGTGTGCCCCCCCCCGGCTGGAAGGTGTTTCCAGAGGGATTAGGAGCCGGCCAGCCTCCTCGGGCCGGCTGGGATTAAGTCTTTCCATAAATACTGGCCCCCTCCCAGCCCGGGTGGGTGTGGCCCGGCCAGGGGAGGGGGCGCTTTCTGGAAGCAGCTCAGCCCAGGGCAGGGCAGGGGCTTCCGCTGCGACTCGGGCCTCCCAGCCTCAGCTTCCGCATCTGTTCAATGGGGGTGCGTGCTCCACCAGGCCCCCTGAGGTTCAGAGGGCGCCTCTCCCGTCCGCCTGGGTCTCACAGCCCAAGTGGCACGCGCCGGCCCCGCCCCGCCCGCCCCTGGGGAGCAGTGGGTCCCGCACCTGCGCCGGCCGCCCCGCGGTTCCGCCGAGCTCAGCAGCCGGGGCGGCGCGGGGAACCGCGCTGGTTGCCCTTTGCAAAGCGGCTTTGATGCCCTGGGAGCCCCGGGGCCCCCTAAGTGCGGCGGCTCATAAATAATACATTCTGAAATCCTCGATGAGGGGAAATGGCTCCCGCCGAGGCCTCCCGCCCCGCCCTCCGAGGAGGCTGAGCGGGCGCCGGAGCCAGGTGCGGGCTGGGGGGGGGCAGGCTCGCGCGCGCGCGCGGACACACCCCCGCCGCCCAGGGGCCAACTCTCCCCAGGCCCGCGTGTCCGCGGCAAAGTCCACGAGGAGCGGGGCGACGCCCGGCCCCGGGACCCCGCACCGCCCCCCGGGTCCCCGGCCCTGGCGGGGCCGCGCCCTCCCGCCGCGGAAGCCCACGGGGCGTGGACAGCGCTCTGCTGCGGCTCGGGGCAGGGCGGCGCGCGTCTTCCAGAAGGGGGTGGGGTGGGCGGCGCGGGGCCGGGCACTCACCGCTTCCTGTGGGCTCACAGCCGAGCCGCGCACGGGGCGCACGGGGCCTGGCCGGGCGCTGGTGGCGGGGCCGGCGGCCGGGCGCTGGGGGCCGCGGCGACGAGCCTGCGAGAGAGAGCAGCGGGGGTCATGGCCCGGCCGGCACTCCCGGGCCGCCGCCGCCGCCGCGCGCCCGCCTCCGGCCCCCGCCCCGCACCTGGAGGGCGGCGCCGCGCCTGCCCGCCCCGCCCCGCCTGCCCGGCCGCCCGCCCCGAGCCGCGCGCACGCCCCTACCCGCCCTGGGGGAGCCGGGAAAAGTTTGGGCCGTGGCTTGGCCGGCTCTCCGCCGCGAGCCCCTCGGCCCGGGGTGGCGACACGGGGCGCCCGGACTCCCCCCATGCAGGGCCCTGCTGTGGGGAGGGGCGGCTCCACCATCTCCGGCCCTCCCCCCCTGGCGTGGTCCCTGGGGACAGAGCAAGGGGCAGATGGCCCTGTGGTCAGCCAGCCGCTTCCCTGGGGTGGGGGTCCAGCCCTTTAGCTACGCCCTCCCCCCTGCACCCCAATTCTGGGAACGAACTGGGGGTGTGGCCACAGGGAACCACCTGGGTGGGCCTTGTTCACCCCCCAGCCCTGCGGTGGGGCAGGCGCCGATTTCCTTGGGGGCCACTGGTCTTTGACACTTGTGTGGGTGTTTGATTAAAACCCCCTGAGGTCTCCCCGGTGCCCCACCCCCTCAGGAGTCTGCGGGACTCATCAGCTCCCACAGGAGCCAAGAGGGTCCTGCACACCCGTCCGTCCCCAAGGGAGCTGTGGGGTCAAACCGTCCCCTCTAAGGGCAGCAACGGAGTCGCGAGGAAGCCCCGGGGAAGAGCATCCCCGGGTGGCCCCCTCCTCGGGGTTGGTGGGGGTCAGCCTGGCTCTAGGCCTCCTTTGTTCACAGGAGTAAGGGTCTCCCCAGCGCCTGCCCGTGACAACCCTGGGAGGGACAGCGGTTATGTCCTCCTCCCCCAGGGCGCCGGTCACCTCCGCCTGGGCCCTGTCTGCACTCTTGGGCTCTCCTGCCCCTAACAGAGCAGGGGAGGGGACAGGGTGCCCCAGAGCAGGTGGGGAAGGTGTGGCACGGGGTGAGACGGGCACGGAAGGAGCCCGTCTGTCCTCCGCCACGGGGCTGGCCCCGGACATGGGGAGTTTGTGCGTCTCTGCGTGGGGGACCCTTGTGGGCCGTGGGGTGTGGAGCAGCGCCCTGGTCTCCAGGTGCCAAAGGCACCACCCCCCAAAATCGTGACAACCAAAATCCATCTCAGGATGCGGCCAGCTGTCCCAGGGGCTCCCGGTCCCGAGAGCTGCTGGGGGAATCGGTAGGTTAACAAAACCTGTGACGCAAACACTCGGCCCAGCCGTGCCCGGTTCTCCCAGGCGGGGCCCAGGCGCGGCTGTTTAGGGGATAGGAAATCTGCAGTGACGGAGGTGGGAGCCCAGCAGACAGAGCCCACCTGGCTGGCTGTGGGGTGGGGGGACAGCAGGGAGCGCTGAGCCCCAGACCCTGGACACTAGGCAGCCCCTGGCCCCGCAGCTGCCTCTGGTCAGGGTCCCACGGTGCCTCAGGGGAGCAGGCTGGAGAGTGAGGCTCCTTAGGTGTAGGGCCCCGGGGGGGACTGTCAGGCCACTGCCGCCTGAGCCCCACATGCCCCCTCTCGGTCCCAGGGCCCCTGTGCCTGCTGAGGAAGGAGGAGGAGAAGGCCGGGAGCGCCCCGCCCCTGCCCCGTTCCTGCCCCACCCCTGCTCGCCCCTGGGGTCCGACATTCTCGAGCTGCCTGTGTGTGCCCAGCACGGCCAGGCCCTGAGGACCTGGCCCTCCTGGACGCTCCTCTGTGAGGGTCAAGGACACAGACATGGAGCAGAGCTGGGGGCCACGCAGGGCTGGGGTGGGGGAGACCCGGAGGCGGCAGCAGCGAGGAAGCATCGGCAGGGAGAGCTGCCGGGGGGGGGGGGGTCTGGGCTCAGGGAACAGCACAGGATGGGCTCTGTCCCTGCCCCTGCCCTCCCCGGTCAGCCCCTCCTGTCAGCTCTGAGCAAGCCTGGCGGCCTGTGGGGGGCCCTAGGCAGGTGTCTCTGGCCACCTGCAGAATGAACGGAGGTTTGCATGTGCGAGTGGAGAATCCGAGTCCTCGGGTTCCCCAGGGGGCGAGGGGGTGACCATGAAGCAGATGCCAGGCCCTGCCCGGGGAGGCCGTGAGCCAGGATGCCAAGCCAGCAGGGCTGCTAGGGAGCCGTGGGAGGGCAGCTGAGCGGCCGCTGTGACCAGCAGCTGGGGCAGGCTGGCCCTGCCACCGACGCAGGGCGGCAGCGTGGATGCCAGCAGCCCCGGCACTTGCTGGCACGAGGGCAAGACCTCCCACTGCCGAAGCAGCACCCGGCCACGGCCCTTTGGAGGGGCTTGGCCCGGGGTGTCACGCCTGTGCCGTTAGCTCCCTGCTTGTGGCATGACTGTATCCCACATCCTGTTCCGAGCAAGGTGTAGGTTAAGGACCACTAATGCCTGACCTCCCCATAGGGAGGAAGGTGTGTCCCCCCCCACTGGAGTCGGGCTGGCCCTGAGCCTGGGCAGCCGGTGGGATGGGACAGGTTCCAGGCTGCCTGATGGCTCCTGGGAGGAGCTGTGGAGGCCCCGCCCCGCCCCCACCAGGGAGAAATTGACTCAACAATGGAGTAGGCTGGGTCCGGGGAGGACCCGCCTCCCGCCTCCCCTCCCTGCAGGCACTGGCCGAGTGGCATCTCCGTCTCCGACTCCCCAGCCTCCGCAGGTGGGAGCAGCCAATCTCCACTGCTCACCAGTGGCCGGTAGAAGGCAGGTTACCGTGGTGGCCTGCAGGGGCCGAGCTGCCCTGGCCACAGGGAGGGCCTGGCTCTGAGGACAGCGCAGCCGAGCCCCCGGCCCCCCACCCAGCGTGTGCAGAGCCGGCTTGCACGCCCAGCCCGCGTGAGCCCCAGCCAGGGTCAGGAGTTGTCCTAGTACCACCAGGCCACACCACAGAACTGGGCCGGAAAGGAAATGGTGGTTGTTGGGAGCCCCAGAGTTTGGGATCTTTTGTTACGCAGCAGTGGGTGGCTGAGGCTGGGCCCCAGGACGGAGCGTTGGCGCTAACGGCTTCCTCTCGCCTGCTAAATGACAGCAAAGCAGACTGCTGAGCCAGCCTTAGCAGCTGTTTCGGTATCTCCTGAGACCAGGACAGGCACGCCACCCGCCTCTCTGGGTGCCCCGGACTCCCTGAAGAGTCCCGTGGCCGCAGACACTCTGTGCCCGCGCTGGCGCCTCCCAGCCCGCCTCTCCCCTCCTCCCCTCCTGACTTTGGGTTTGAACGGCACCAGGGCCCACTCTACAGAGGAGGAGACCAGGCGCAGAGGGGTGACGCAGCTTAGGACCCGGCGCTACGGAGCTGGTGGCGCCTGTCTTCCTGGGGCAGCCCTGGTGTGGGCGTGTGTGCCTGTACCCATCCTGAGGGCATTCAGATGCGTGTGCCCAGCGGCTGGGAGGATGGGCCAGGCTGGCCGCAACACAGGCACTGCCGGGGGTTCTCGCGATGTCTCCACGTTTGGGTTTGAAAATTCCCTGGCCGGCGCCGCGGCTCACTAGGCTAATCCTCCACCTTGCGGCGCCAGCACACCGGGTTCTAGTCCCTGTCGGGGCACCAGATTCTGTCCCGGATTCTGTCCCAGATTCTGTCCTCTTCCAGGCCAGCTCTCTGCTGTGGCCAGGGAGTGCAGTGGAGGATGGCCCAGGTGCTTGGGCCCTGCACCCCATGGGAGACCAGGAGAAGCACCGGGTTCCTGCCATTGGATCAGCACGGTGTGCCGGCCACAGCACGCTGGCCGCGGCGGCCATTGGAGGGTGAACCAACAGCAAAGGAAGACCTTTCTGTCTCTCTCTCTCTCACTGTCCACTCTGCCTGTCAAAAAATAAAAAAATTAAAAAAAAGGAAATGCAGGCCCTGGGGAGCCAGCCCCGCCCTGGAGAGGCTGAGGCGCCCCCTCCTCAGGGCTCCCCAAAGGCCTGGCATCCCCGCCCCGGGAGCGGCGGTGACTGTCTCCCTTGGCTCCGAGCCCCCGGGCGCGGCAGCTGCAGCGTCACTGAGCGGCGTCACGCAGGGCTGCCTGGCTGTCGGCGCGGACTGGGCCCCCCTTCCCCTTCCGGGGGGTCCTGATCCCTCGCCCCCCACCCGGCCGGAAACCTCAGGGGAGTCCTCAGCCTAGTGTCAGGTTGTCAGCCCTGGGCTGGGTGTGCAGCGACCACTCCGAGGACGTGTGTGTGTGGGCGGGGACACCCGTGGGAGAAATGCGTGTCACGGTGAGTCTGCGAGGTCCGGACGAGGGCCGGCGACCTGTGTGGGCGCCAGGCACCGCGACAAGGGCCGGCTGCACGGACCTCGCGGCCGCTGCTATTTTTATCTCCCTCTTGCAGAGCAGGCAGCCGTTGCCCGGAGCGCTGTCGTCACTTGTGCAAGCCTAGGGCGGTGGGTGACACAGCCGGGGTCCTCGCCCAGCCAGGCCTAGCCAGGAGCACTCGCCCTGGTGCCCGTGCCCCTTAGGGCACGTGATGGAGGAGGGTGACCCACGGTGGGCATCAGGGGCCACCCGGGTGTGGCAGGCACAGCAGAGGGAGCCCCAGGAGTGCCCAGGCTGTGCCAGCCAGCGTCCTCCACCACGGAGGGACCCTGCGAGCATCGCTGGCCTCTTCGCTGAAAAAAAAAAAAAAAAAAACGCAACAGGCACCACTAAGAAAATGACACGGCGAGCCACAGCCTGGGCGGAGACGCTCGCACCTCAACGTCCCCTCGAAGACGCGGGACCAGAGCACAGGAAGAACTCTTAGAACGCAGCAACCAAGAGGCAAAAAACCCATCTCAGCCCGGGACAGGGGTCTGCGGAGTTCCGGAAAGAAGACGTGCACGCGGCCACCTCGGCACCCTTCCTGCCCCGGGAGGTGGGTGCGAGCCGAAGCCGGGGGCCGGTGCTTAGAAAGTGGGGCGTTTCCTTTCCTTACAACCATCACCTCCAGGGCCGGCGCAGCAGATGGAAGGCTCGCTCTGCGGCCGTGCCAGGGCGTGGGACACGCCTCGGAGACGTGACGCTGGAGGCCGCGCGTCCGACGACTGTTCATGCCAAGTGTCCAGAAGAGACGGACGCACAGCGACACAAAGCACGCTTGGGGCCGGCGGAGCGAAAGGAAATCTACGGCAGTTACGGAACCGGTGCAGGCCGGCTGTCCGCTGAGCTGCTGCCCCTCAGTCGCCATGGCAACACCTCCAAGGAGTGGCCGCGAGCGCCCTGGGGAGGCGGCGGGCTCCGTAGCGTAGCGTAGAGGTAGTGGTCTGCCCTTCTGCAGGGGTGGGGTGGAAAAGAGGAAGGAAGCTGAAGGGCGGAAGCGGCAGGCGAGCAGAGGGAGGGTGACGGAGAGGCGCGGCTGTGCAGAGGGGAAGCTGGGCTCTGGGGGGTACCGTGAGCTGCCAGAGGCCCCCGTAGGCTGGGCTGCATGGGGATCAGAAGCCACGTTGGGGGCCGGTGCTGTGGGGTGGCTGGTAAAGTTGTTGCATGCAGTGCCGGCATCACATGTGGGCACTGGTTCAAGTTCCGGCTGCTGCACTTCTGATCCAGCTCCCTGCTAATGCGCCTGGGAGAGCAGTGGAGGACGGCCCAGGTGCTTGGGCCCCTGCACCCACGTGGGAGACCCAGAAGAAGCTCCTGGCTCAGCCCTGGCTGTTACAGCTATCCAGGAAGTGAACCAGTGGATAGCTTCTGTCTCTCTTCGTCTCTGTAACTCTGGCTTAGGTCAGCCGGGCAGGCTGCACCCGAGCAGGGGGACCAGACGGGCCTGGAGCCACGCTGGGGTCAGCTTGGTAACAAGGGCAGCCGGGAGGCACTGGCAACAAGAGGGACAGCCTGGAACCCCGACTGCCTGCTGCCAGCAGAGCGGACTGGGTGTGGGGTGCAGAGAAACCTGGGTGCCGCTGGGGGCAGATGAGGCCTGGACTGGGCGTGGGGTACAGAGAAACCTGGGTGCCGCCGGGGGCAGATGAGGCCTGGACTGGGCGTGGGGTGCAGAGAAACCTGGGTGCCGCCGGGGGCAGATGAGGCCTGGACTGGGCGTGGGGTGCAGAGAAACCTGGGTGCCGCCGGGGGCAGATGAGGCCTGGACTGGGCGTGGGGTGCAGAGAAACCTGGGTGCCGCCGGGGGCAGATGAGGCCTGGACTGGGCGTGGGGTGCAGAGAAACCTGGGTGCCGCCGGGGGCAGATGAGGCCTGGACTGGGCGTGGGGTGCAGAGAAACCTGGGTGCCACAGGGGGCAGATGAGGCCTGGACTGGGCGCGGGGTGCAGAGAAACCTGGGTGCCGCCGGGGGCAGATGAGGCCTGGACTGGGCGCGGGGTGCAGAGAAACCGGGGTGCCGCCGGGGGCAGATGAGGCCTGGACTGGGCGTGGGGTGCAGAGAAACCTGGGTGCCGCCGGGGGCAGATGAGGCCTGGACTGGGCGTGGGGTGCAGAGAAACCTGGGTGCCGCCGGGGGCAGATGAGGCCTGGACTGGGCGTGGGGTGCAGAGAAACCGGGGTGCCGCCGGGGGCAGATGAGGCCTGGGCCGGTGGGCTCTCTGGGAGCTTGAAACACGTCCAGTTTGGAAAAGGAAACCCCTCCCCAACCCACGGCAAGCCCAAGGACTGCCTGCGGGCACGGCAGCGTGGCCAAGCTCCCCCCGGCCGGTGCGGAAGGACCTCCAGGTGAGGAGGGGCGTGGTGCGGCACCACGTGCAAGAGTGCCGTGGGGACACGGGGACCTAACCCCTGCTGGCACAGAGCCCTTCCGGAACGTTCCAGCAGGAGCAGGGTGGGCCGGGGCCTCCTCTCTGCTCTGTGTGTCCAAAAACTAAGACAAAGCAAAGCAAAACAACAACGAGAAAACCCAGAAAAACAAAGGGAGGCTACCGGAGGTTTATTTAAGACTCGGGAGGAAACCGTCCTCGCGGCTGTGCTACACAGAGCTTCACCGTGTTGGCGGGATGACAGCACCCACGGCGTCCCCTGCCCCACCCCAGGACACGGTCCCAGCCGGCTCCACTTCTGTGATGGCCGAGACACGGGAGCTGCCGCAGGCCACCCTGCCAACAGCGCGGTGGGTTCGCGAGGCTCGGGGGAAGGGGCCGTCTCAGTGACAGACGCGCGAGGGGCAGCCGCAGTGCTGACGTGGGAGCCCCAGCGACGCTCACACCACGGACAGCAGGTTCCGGCGAGACGGGACAGCCGGGTACAGGGAGGAGAGGCCGCGCGAACGTCCCTAATCTGCCTGCCCGTGCTCTGTGACGACGAAGCCCAGCGACGGAGCGCCTGCCTGCAGCCCGGCTCGCTGAGTACTGCAGCCCCCTGCGGAGCCCACCGCTCAGAACTGCAGGTTCCTTTCAAAATATGCCGGCTCGCCGCCCAGGCACCGGGTCCCCCAGGAGCTCGGCACGGGGTGCGGGGTGAGGGCCACGTCCCCAGGCCTGCTACCCCAGCGTCCACACTGCAGCCCGAGGGTCGGGGGTAAGGCTGGCCCGAGGGTCTTATTATTTAGGACACACACCTACGGACGAGGAGGGAAGACCAGGGCTCCCCGAGGTGGAACCTGTGGCCACGACAGCAAGGACCTGGCTAGGACGCGCCCGCGGAGAGCAGTGGCAGGGCGCGCCGGCAGCAGCGGAGCGCTCACCGCAGCCGGCCTCCTGTCTCGGCCCGACCCGGGCGGCCGGAGCCATCCACACCGCGGACTCACTGAGGCTCGCAGGATCATTACATTTCTGAACAATAAAGTACTTTGACATGAAGGTCTCTGTGTGTTGCTTTTAAAGACAACACCACAGCCAGCGCTGGACACAGAGGGTTAAGCCTCCACCTGCAGCACCGGCTTCCCGTAAGGGCGCCGGTTTGAGTCCCGGCTACTCCACTTCCGATCCAGCTCCCTGCTACTGTATCTGGGAAAGCAGTAGAAGACGGCCCAAGTCCTTGGACCCCTGCACCCACGTGGGAGACCTGCAGGCAGCTCCTGGCTCCTGGCTTCAGCCTGCCCAGCCCTGGTCGCTGTAGCCACCAGGGGCGTGAACCAGCAGATGGAAGACCTCTGTGTGTGTGTGTCTCCCTCTAACTCTGACTTCCAAATAAATAAGTACATCTTAAAAAAAATAAAGACGTAACACTATCGCACACTTAACATACCAGGGCAGAGTGTGCACAAAACACTGTGTGCTGGAAACAGACGGCGTGATTTGCCTTGTAGTGGCAGAGGTCTGGAAAGGAGCCCGCGGGACCTCGGAGGTGTGCCAGTGTGCCGTGGAAAGCTGAGAAAGTTCCAGAACAAATGGTATTTCATGCTGCGTGCGTGGGGCTTTGACGAGCCGCTGGGCTCTGGATGGGGATCTGAAAAGCAAGACGCTGGCCTGGGCTGAAGGCCGCAGGCATGGAGACAGCGAGGGGACAGGCCGGGGGCACGAGTGGGCCCAGGGCACGGGCGTTGTGGGGCGGGGGAGGGGCTCCCAGCTGTCAGTCCCACAGGACTCGCCTATCTGCCCAGGGAGTCATCTCGGAGGCTAAGCCAGGGGAACTCTGGGACGCCCGGGGAATCTGCTGCAGGACGTGTCCTGGGAGGGCTGGGCCGCCGTCCGCCGGGACACAGCTCGCCTGTCCGTGCCTGGACAGCACCGGGAGGCAGCAGGCGGGTGGAGAGGGGCCCGGAGCCCAGCACCTAGGCCCCCCGGGGTGCAGAAGAAGGCGCCGGCCCCCACCCTTGCCCTGTGTCCCGCGTCCCGGGTCGGGCTGGGCTGTCCCGGCTCTGTGTGGCCCGGGTGGGTTGTGGGAGGGTAGGGCTTGACGCGGGAGAAGCCAGAGCTGCTGGGGCCTGCGGCAGAGAAAGAGGGTGGGGAACTGTGACAAGCAGACCGAGGCCCAAAGGCCAGGCCGCGGGGACAGCGGTGGAGGGGCCACAGTGCAGCCTCACGGCTGTGTGCACCGCGGAGCGCGTCCCTCCAAAACCACTACCGAGTGCTTGGCGCAGTGCTTAATGGGGTTCAGCCACCGGAGACGGGACTCAAGTGACAGAGTTCCCTGGAGATTCCAGTGGGCGAAGCCGGGAAGGGGAGCGTGGCTGCGCCCAGGGCGGCCCCCAGCTCAGGCCGGCGGGCGTCCCAGTGGCTCAGGGCCCAGAGCTTGCTCAGGAAGCCGCCACCCAGCAGCCTCACAGTGAACTTTCTCGACGCTGGGGAGCACAGGCCCTGCCCGAGCCGGCCTGGGCACGGTGCATTCCCCTTCCCTGAGGCCCCTCGTGCAGGCCGGGAACCCTCAGCAGTGTGGCCCTGGCCCCCACGGGCCTTGGCGAACACACAGCGGGCAGCACCAGCGGGGCCTGGGCTGTACCCTAGGATGCTGCCTCCCTGGGGAGCCTGAGTGTCTCCACGGGCCCTGCCCAGAGGGAGGACGGCCCCTGCAGCCCACTCGGACTTCCTGAGCGGTGAGGGGAGGGGGAGGGGGGGGAGGGGGGAGGATGCCCTCTGGGCTCTCCTCAAGAAAACAGGCTCCTTACGCAGGCAAAACACCAGGGCAGGGCTAGCCACGCCCCCGAGGCACTGTGTTTACCGTTCTCAAACGTCTGGTCACTTGTGCATTTATTCCTCTGTCCTCCCACCCACCCATCTATCCATCCCTCCATCTGTCCACCCACCCATCCATCCCATCTGTCCATCCATCCATCCGTCCCTCTGCCCACCCGTCCGTCTGTCCATCCGCCCACCTGTCCATCATCCGCCCACCTGTCCATCATCCGTCCATCTGCCCGTCCATCCACCAAACTCCTCTGGGGCACCTGCTGTGAGGCACGAGACCTGCGAGGTCCGGGCCCCGACAGGAAGGAGCCACACCGTTTGCGATGTCGCAGACGTGTGAAAGAGGCGGAAGAAAGAAGTTCACAGCCAGAACGCCTGTCCTCAACCCGGTCACCCAGACCCCGTCCGAACGCGTCGGCGATAGAACGTAAGGCTGTAAGGCACTTCACATTCGCTCTCTGCCCCAAGTCGTCGGAAGCCGCGGTGCATTTCCCGCGGAAAGCGCATCTCCACGCAGGCCAGCCGGGCTGCAGGGGCCCAGAGCCGCCCCTGGCTGGTGGCTGCCCTACCGGCCAGCGCAGATCTAGGGACACAGACGCACGGGCGCCCAGCCCTGGACCGAGGGGGTCTGCGTGTCACGGGTGGGGGAGCACACCTGCACACAGCTAGGGTGGAAGACGGGGCCCGGCAGTGCTCGGGTGCGCCTCCTTCCTGCGCCACTGCTCGGGGCACAGCGCCCGGCGGGCCGCAGGTGCAGGGAGCATTTGCCAGATGAGCCACGGGCGGCTCCACTCCAAGCCCATCAGAGGGCAAAACGGAGAGAGCCGGTGCTGGCTGGTGAGCCGAGACCGCGGCTGCTCCCCTCCCCCCCCCGCCCGGTACCCGCTCTGGGGGACAGCGTGGCGACGGCCCGGAAGCTCATCCCCGGGGGCCCAGCAGCCCCACCTACAGGTGGGAGCTCCCACACAGGAGCATGAGGAGGTGGGCGCACCAGTGTTCCCCGCACCACGGCGCCACGGTGCATGAAGCCGGGAACTCGGAACTAAACGGCACCAGAGGACCACGGCACACGTTGTTACCACCAACTCCTACCACGTCGGACCACACAGCAGCCACGCGGCAGAGCGCGTGCCCACCAGGGAGGAGAGCAGAGCATGCTGGGTGGGAGAGGATTACACGTGACACGGGCACGAGCGTCACGGCAGAGCCCGCACACCGCGACGGGAGGGAGGCCCGTGGCATCGGCAGACGCGGCCTCAGGGAAGGGGGAGAGACGGGGGGACCAGAGAGGGGGACAGAGCGGGGCTCACCGCCACGTCCTCTCTGGAAAGCCGAAGCACACACGGCCAAAGGCTCAGACTGGCAGGTGCACGGGTGCAGGTGCGTGCTAACCTATGCCCCGCACCTTCCCGTCTGAAACGCTTCCTAGAAGAAGCCGACGCTTCCCAGGAATAAGACAGGGACTCGATGCACCACCTGGGGAAAGTCGCCTGACGGCCCGGACCTCGGCTCCCGCGTCTGAGAGGCAGGAGGGCAGGCAGGGTCTGGGAACGGCGGCCTTGAGCCAGCCCCATCGCGGGCACCGACCGAGCGCCGACTGCGCCAGGCACGGGGAAGCCGCCTGATCTGGCAGGCGCTGGTTCTTACCCCACCCCACGGGGCGCAGGGCCACGAGGCTGCCCAGGGCAGCAGTGAGTTGAGCGGTGGCCCAGGATCTGAGCTTGGCCAGCCCCCGCCCCATCCCGGCTCCAGTTCTTTTCTTTCCAGAGGCTCCGAGTTAATTTTAAAGGCCGCAGGTGCCAAGGCCCTGCCGGCGCTCAGGGCCCGGCTAATCCTCCCGAGAGGGAGGCTGAGGCCCGGCTGTGGGTGCGCACGGCTGAGCCTGTCCGGGAGACGGAGGTGCCCCACGCACCCCGCGGTCAGTGGGCTCCTGAGAGGTTGCCCCCCAGCGGGGTCTCCCAGCTCCAGGGCTAGTCCACTGGGAGGGTGGCTTCGGGGTCGGGGGGCCCCGAGCCAGGGAGCTCAGCTGCCGGGGCAGAGGTGGGGAGGGGGCACAGCCCCCGGCAGCCCCTCAGAAGAAAGCCCTGTGCGGAGAGTCCCGGTGCACCCTGCCAGCCAGCCGCGGGAGAGATGACCTGCCCGCTCAGTGTGCCCGCTCGCTGCACAACCCATCTCCTGGCCGGCGGCACGACGGGCGTGCCGTGTTGCTCCTGTGCGCTACGTGTCAAAGCCAGGACATCTACAGCACTCACCGAGGCCCGGGAAGTGCCAGCACGCCCAGGGCACGGCAGGGTGGGGAGTGGGCAGAGGAGGGGGCGCCACCCCAGACACCCAGGACCAGGGCCTCCGCACCCGGACCCGGAGCCCCCGCCAGGCCCCCACCGCCTCCTCCTACCTCCAGGGACAGCAGGTCAGCGGCTGTCTGGAGTCTCCGGGACCTGGCGCAGGCTGGGGACAGGCGCTGGCTCTCCTGGGGTGGCCATCTGGGCTGTGGCCGCTCCCTGCTCCTCCGGACTCTGCCCGTCGGGACTAAATGCCCGGCCTCTGCAGAGAAGGGAAATTAGCCTTAAGCTCAGGACTCGCCATTGCCCCGTGGCTTTCGGAGCTTTAATCCCTGTTTCAGATGCCGGGTGTCTGCCGCGGGTTAGTGGGCTGGGCCAGCCGGAGCCTCCACAGGAGAGGGGCCCCGGGGAGGGAGAGGGAGCACACTTCCCAGGGGAGGGGGGCGCTCTGGGGTCTGTGCTTGGGGTGGCGTGGGGGAGGGGCTTGGGGGGCGAGGTGCCACTGGGACCCACGGTGGGAAATTCGGGAAATCACGGGGACACTTCTGGCAATCAGATGCCTCGAACCCGCTCGTCGAGCTGAGGGTGCCAGCCCACGCCCGTGGCGGCACTGCATTCCCAGGGTGGTCGGGTGTGCTGACGGTGGAGCTCCAGTGACGCCCGTGAGTCCCCCACATGCCCCTCTGCCCGCGGCCTTAGCTGAGGCCAGACCTCAGCGGGGAAAGGCAGAGTGTGGCTCCGTGGGCCAGGCCGAGGCCCGCCACAGCAGAGGGGGGGAACGGAGGCCCCTTTCCCCCTCCCCAGATTACCTTCCTGATGTTCCACTACTTATTTTCATATAAAACACACAGACCCTAAACCCCCAACTTCGAGCATACAACTCAGTGACTTGCAGAATATTCTAGAAAATTGATCACTACCACTCATTCCAGACATTCTCATCACGCCCACAGGAAACCTGTATGCCGTCACCCTTGAATCTGCTCATCCACTTCCTGTCTCTGTGGACCTGCCCTCCCTGGACAAGTCACAGACGTGGACTCACACGGCCCAGTGTGTGTGCACGGCACAGACGTGGACTCCACGTGGCCTCGGTTTGGCTTCTTTCGCCCAGCATCATGGCTTTCAGGTTCGCCATGGTGTAGCGTGAGTCACTCTTTTTTGTGGCTGAGTACCAGTCCACGTGTGGACAGGCCGTCCGCTGCTGGGCACTGGGCTGTGTCCCCACTTTGGCTGCCCTGGGCACTGGTGCCCTCTGTGAGGACAGACGCTGCCACTGGGAGCCACGACACTTAATGGCCAGCTGGAGCCTGCGACCACCCTGTTGATTTTGGCTTCTCTGGTTCCTGCAGGGTGGGCTCCGCCTCCCGGGTCCTGCAGCTCTCAGACGGGATCTAAGTGGACTAGAGCTCCGCGTGGCCTCTGCCCGCTCACAGCCACCCCACCGCCCCGGACATCCAAACCGAGTGCTAAGACGAGACCTAGGAACACAACCCCAGGTCCGGGACACGGGAAAGGAGCCCGACAGAGCCGCCCTGTGAGGGGACCCAGCGCACCTGCACGCGGCGGGGGCGGCCCTCTCACCAGATGCGTCCTGACTGCTGGCATTCTGCGGTGCTCACCGACACGTGTGCACCCCCAGTTCTGCGGCCCCTCCTGTCTCCTGCTCAGGGTGGGGAGGGGACGGGTGCAGGGGGGCTGCCACCTGCCCCAGGCAGGGCCGAGCGGACAGGCTGAGGACTGCCGTTAGCTCACTCTGGAAGGCTGACGGCAGCGAGGAGCCGAGTGCGGGGCATCAGGCCGCGGGCTGCCCCAGCGCTGGAGGAAGTGGGGCCCTGCACACCCTGCAGAGCCCGGGCTGTGGGGAGAGGAAAGGGTGTGGGGGCCACGGCGCGGGGCAGGGAAGGGAAGGTGGGGCTCCCAGGTCCAGAGGCCGGCAGGGTGGGGTGGGGGTGGCTCCTGGCGTGCAGTGGGGCCAATAAAGACACGATATCCCGAGCGCCCTGGGTCTCCCACCCCGGTCACTCCCTGGAGACGAGACAGGGTGCCAGACAGCTGTCCCGGCGTGGCCTCGGCGGCCAGTCCGACGTACATCTCCAGGTCTGAGCATGGCCGGGGCTATTCCAGACCAGCGCTCCAGGTCACTCCAGCACCGTTAGGGGGAAGGCCTCATGGCAGGTGCTGGGCGCAGACGTGGTCAGTGGGTGGGACGGGGGTGCTCACAAGTCCCACCACGGCCGTCGGAGCCGAGACGGAGGACATGCTTGTGACCAGGGAGGCTGCTTTGCCAGGACTCCCTGGAACCTGCCCGTAGGTGGAGTCTGTGCCCGCGGCACCCACTGCCCCGTGTGCCCATGAGGGGCCGTGTGTTCTGGACATCCAGGAAGGTGAGACACCGGGGTGCCAACAGAACAGTGGGACGAGTCAGCCGTGACCTTGACCCCGACCCGCCCACTGCACCACTCCCAGGCCTGTGGGCCTCCAACCCCTGGCTCAGGGGGAGGGGCAGCGGCCACAGAACGCAGCAGCAAGAGGGTTGCGAGGAGCAGCGGACCCCTCCCTGCCTGCCTCCCCTCTCCTGCCCGACCTTTCCACCCAAACTGCCTAGAGGCCACGCCCACGCGGCAGGTGGGGCCCTGGGCGGGACCACCGAGCCCCCTGCTGTCTGCACCTCAGCCTACCTGCACCACAGCTGCAAGTCCTGGCACCGTGACCTGCTGGCTCACGCCCAGACGGCCCCACCGGCTGGGACGGGGCCAGGCTGCGGGCGGGAGCCTGGGACTCCGCCTGGCTCTCCCACGTGGGATTTGTTCCACCACCCTCTGCTCTCCCGCGCGGCCGCAGGGAGGCGGATCGGAAGCGGAGCGGCCAGCAGGGGATACCAGTGTCACAGGCTGAGCCCAGAATTCTTGACTATAAGGCAGCACGATTACTCATCACTTACGCGTCCTGTTTAAAACAAGGTGGTGACCGCAGCCTCCTGAGGCCATCTGGGAGCTCCGTTGTTTGACGGCTACCCGCCCCCCAAAGTCTCAGCTCAGAGAGCCTGACAGGAGTGCGGGTGAGCCAGGGGTCGGCAGCCCCGCACTGTGTGTGTGTGCGGGGGCATTCGGCGGGTCCAGCTGCAGAGACCCTAACAGGGGGGCACGCATGCCCCGCAGGTCCGCTCCCGCGCATAGCCCTGGGAGGACCGTGTGCGTGGGCGTGCAAAGAACGGGCAAAAGCGGTCACCGCAGGGGAACCCGCACCAGCCGCACCGCGGAAGCAACCCAACAGGCCATCGGCACAGAGGTGGATAAACCGGGAGACACGGCTGCGGCCAAGCCACCCACGGAGCCCACGCGGCTGCGGCCCGGGGGCGCGCACCTCCCACACGGCACGCGCGCGCGGAGGGCCCGGGTGCCGGCAGACCCCATCCGGCGCTTGTCTGCCCATCAGCGGTGCTGTCTGCTGTGGTTCACGGAACCCCGTCTGTGCGCGTGCGATGCTGGCGGACGCTTTACTGAAGCGGCACAACCCTGCCAGCCACGTGGAGACGGGGCAGAACGCAGGACGCTGGGTGTTGGAACGCACGACTCTGATCTTGGGACGGGGCCTCCCCGGGCGGCGCTGGCCCAGGGTTGAAGCCGCTGCTTCCGCAGGCCCACGCCCCGCGGCGCAGTGCGGTCTGAGGCCCGGCCACGCCTCTGCCCGTCCAGCCTCCTGCCAGTGTGCACCGTGGGAGATGGCAGCCGTCGGCGCGGGTCCCTGGTCCCTGCCACCCATGGGGCAGCCTGAACTGAGTTCCAGGTCCCCAGCTTCAGCCTGGCCTGGCCTTGGCTGTCGTGGGCATCTGGGGAGTGGACTCCGCGGTGGTCACAGCTCTCAGTGTCTGTGTGCGTCCTTCTCTCTGAAAGAAGCTAAACTGAAACTCCTCCATCCCCGGGAAGCAGAGGCCACGCCACACACGGGGAGGGCAGAGGGCCGCAGGATGCCCTGGCCGCAAAGCCGCCTCCGGAAGCGGAGACCTGGCGTCTTACAGGTGGACAGACAGCGACGAAGCCTGCTCACGCACAGGACACCTCGGGGCACTGTCTTCCCACCTGCCCGTCCTGCCTCAATTGTTACTGAATTCTGTTTGCAACAGATTTACAAGGGAGAAAGAAGTCCAAGGTCTCCCACAGGAAGAATCCGGAGCTCACTCTGGAGACCTGAGCTCCACTGGCCTGAACCCCATCAAACTGCTGCTGTGCGAGGTTATTTTTTTTAAAGATTTATGTTTATTTGAAGGACAGAGTTACAGAGAGAGGTAGAGAGAGGTCTTCCATCTGCTGGTTCACTCCCCAGATGACTGCAATGGCCAGAGCTGAGCTGATCCAAAGCCAGGAGCCAGGAGCTTCCCCCGGTCTCCCACGTGGGTGCAGGGGCCCAAGGACCTGGGCCACCTTCCACTGCTTTCCCAGGCCACAGCAGAGAGCTG